CTGAAAAGATGGCTATGTATATTAAGAAAAAACAAGGCAAAATATAAGCCCCGCCCACCCACCCTATCTCGATTCTGATGATTTTTTTATTCGTCGTAAGCCGAGGGGTGGACCTTATTTGTAAAAACCTTGTTTTCTACGAGAAATTACCATTTTTAAGTTTCTCGTTGTGAAAACATGACTACACATATTAAGAAAAAAAGGTAAAAAATAAGCCCCGCCCGCCCACCCACCCTATCTCAATTGTGATGATTTTTTTTTATTTGTTATGAGCCAAGGGGGCGGAGCTTAACTGCAAAATCCTTATTTCTATGATAAAAATTAAAAACATGTTTTTGAGTATCGTGTTGTACATATTAGGAATAAATTGACGGCAAAGATTAGGCCCCACCCAGACCCGCCCCGATCTCAATTGTGATGAATTTTTCATTAGTTGTCAGATCGCGGGGCGGGATCCGTATTTGTTTACAAGAATTTACCATTTTAAACACGTTTTAAGTTTTTTGTTCTGAAAAGACGACTAGGTATTTAAGAAAAACAGGCAAAATATAAGCCCCGCCCACCCACCCGATCTCAATAGTGACTACTTTTTTTTTAATCTTCGAGAGCCAAAGGACCGAAATTTAATTACAAAATTCTTATTATTTCTCTACAAGAAATTACCATGTAAGACATGTTTTTGAGTATGGTATTATTCAAAGAATATTATGTACATATATTAAGAAAAAATGAAAGTCAAAGACTAAGCCCCACCCATTCCTGCCTTAATCTAAATAGTAATGAAGTTTTCATTCGTTGGTAGACCTAGGGGCGGAGCCTAACTGCCAATTGATCCACATGTCCTTACAAATATTTATCATTTGAAACGTGTTTTAGGTTTCTAAGAATAAAAATAATCATCACAAATGAGACGGGGTGGGTGGGCGGGGTTTATATTTTCCCTTTTTTTCTTAATAAACATAGTATTCTGTGAACGATTCTCAAAATCAGGTTTTTAATTTCTCGTAAAGAAATAAGTATTTTGCAGTTAAGCTCCGCCCCTTTGGTTCACGGCGAATAAAAAAAATCATCATAATTGAGACAGGGCGGGTGGGCGGGCTTTCATTTTGCCTTGTTCTTGTAATATGTGTAGACTTCTTTTCGTAACATTAAACTTAAAATGGAAAATTTGTGTAAGGAAATATCGATTTTGCAAGTAGGCTCCGCCCCATAATTGCAAAATCCACATTTCCTTGCAAAAATGTACCATTTTAACAATGTTTAAAGTTTCTTGTTGTGAAAAGATGGCTATGTATATTAAGAAAAAAGGAAAAATATAAGCCCCACCCACCCACCCTATCTCGATTCTGATGACTTTTTTTATTCGTCGTAAGCCGAGGGGCGGAGCTTAATTGTAAAATCCTTATTTTTTTACCATGTGAAATATGTTCTTAAGTAATCGTGTTATACAAAGAAAACTAAATGTATTAATTAAAACAGAAAACCAAAAGAGAAGCCCCACCCACTCACCCCATCTCAATTGTAATGATTTTTTTCTATTCGTCATGCACCAAGGGGGCGGAGCTTAACTGCAAAATCCTTATTTCTATCCAAGAAATTAAAAACATGTTTTTGAGTATCGTGTTGTCCAAAGAATACTACGTATATTAAAAAATTTAAAAAAATTTTCATTAGTTGTCAGATCGAGGGGCGGGGCTTAATTGCAAGATCCATATTTATCTACAAGAATTTACCATTTTAAACATGTTCGAAGTTTTTGTTCTGAAAAGACGACTAGGTATATTAAGAAAAAAGGAAAACTATAAGCCCCACCCACCCACCCTGTCGCAACTGTGATGATTTTTTTTTTAATCGTCGAGAGCCAAAGGAGCGGAATTTAATTGCAAAATCCTTATTATTTTTCTACAAAAATTACCATGTAAGACATGTTTTTCAATATCGTGTTATTCAAAGAAAATTATGTACATGTATTAAGAAAAAATTGGAGCTAAAGACTAAGCCACACCCACACCTGCCTTAATCTGAATAGTAATTAAGTTTTTATTCGTTGGCAGACCTAGGGGCGGAGCCTAATTGCAAATTGATCTATACGTCCTTACAAAAATTTATCGTTTTAAACGTGTTTTAAGTTTGTAAGGATAGAAAGGGTCATCACAAGTAGACGGGGTGGGTGGGCGGGGTATATGTTTTGCCTTTTTTTCTTACTATACACAGTATTCTTTGAACACCACAATACTCAAAAACATGTTTTTAATTTCTCGTAAAGAAATAAGTAGTTTGCAGTTGAGCTCCGCCCTCTTGGTACACGGCCAATAAAAAAAATCATCACAATTGAGTCAGGGCGGGTGGGCGGACTTGCATTTTGCCTTGTTCTTTTAATATGTGTTGATTTTTTTTTACAACATTAAACTTAAAATGGAAAATTTGTATAAGAAAATCTAGATTTTGCAATTAGGCTCCGTCCCATAATTGCAAAATCCATATTTCCTTTTAAAAATGTACCATTTTAACCATGTTTAAAGTTTCTTGTGAAAAGATGGCTATGTATATTAAGAAAAAAAAAAGGTAAAACATAAGCCCCGCCCACCCACCCTATTTCGATTTAATGATTTTTTTACTCGTCGTAAGGGTGGATCCTATTTGTAAAAACCTTATTTTTCTACAAGAAATTGCCATGGGGAATATGTTTTACGTTCTCGTTGTGGAAAGATGACTACACATATTAAGAAAAAAAGGCAAAATGTAGCCCCGCCCACCCGCCCCATCTCAATTGCTATGATTTTTTTATTCGTTATGAGCCAAGGGGGCGGAGCTTAACTGCAAAATCCTTATTTCTATGACAGGGATTAAAAACATGTTTTTGAGTATCGTGTAGTACATTAAGAAAAAATTGAAGGCAAAGATTAGGCCCCATCCAGACCCGCCCCGATCTCTATTGCGATGAATTTTTCATTAGTTGTCAGACCTAGGGGCGGAGCCTAATTCCAAATTGATTGACATGTCCTTACAAAAATTTATCATTTTAAACGTGTTTTAAGTTTGTAAGTATAAAAAGGGTCATCACAAGTGAGACAGGGTGGGTGGGCGGGGTTTATGTGTTGCCATTTTTTCTTAGTATACATAGTAGTGTTTGAACACTACGATACTCAAAACCATGTTTTTAATTACTCGTAAAGAAATAAATAGTTTGCAGTTAAGCTCCGCCCTCTGATTCACGACGAATAAAAAAAAGCATCACAATTGAGATAGGGCGGTTGGGCGGGCTTTCATTTTGCCTTGTTCTTGTAATATGTGTAGACTTCTTTTCACAACATTAAACTTAAAATGGAAAATTTGTATAAGAAAATATCGATTTTGCAATTAGGCTCCGCCCCATAATTGCAAAATCTATATTTTCTTGCAAAAATGTACCATTTTAACCTCGTTTAAAGTTTCTTGTTGTGAAAAGATGGCTATGTATATTAAGAAAAAAAAAGATAAAATCTAAACCCCGCCCACCCACCCTATCTCGATTCTGATGATTTTTTTTATTCGTTATGAGCCAAAGGGGCGGAGCTTAACTGCAAAATCCTTATTTCTATGAAAGAGATTAAAAACATGTTTTTGAGTATCGTTTGTACATTAAGAAAAAATTGAAGGCAAAGATTAGGCCCCACCCAGACCCGCCCCGATTTCAATTGTGATGAATTTTTCATTAGTTGTCAGTCCTACGGGCGGAGCCTAATTGCAAATTGATCCACATGTCCTTACAAAATTTATCATTTTAAACGTGTTTTAAGTTTGTAAGTATAAAAAGGGTCATCACAAGTGAGACGGGGTGGGTGGGCGGGGTATATATTTTGCCTTTTTTTCTTAGTATACATAGTAGTCTTTGAACACCACTATACTCAAAAACATGTTTTTAATTTCTCGTAACGAAATAAATAGTTTGCAGTTAAGCTCCGCCCCCTTGATTCACGGCGAATAAAAAAAATCATCACAATTGAGACAGGGCGGGTGGGTGGGCTTACATTTTGCCTTGTTCTTTTAATATATGTAGACTTCTTTTCACAACATTAAACTTAAAATAGAAAATTTGTGTAAAGAAATATCGATTTTGCAAGTAGGCTCCGCCCCATAATTGCAAAATCCATATTTCCTTGAAAAATATACCATTTTAACCACGTTTAAAGTTTCTTGTTGTGAAAAGATGGCTATGTATATAAGAAAAAAAAAAGGCAAAATCTAAGCCCCGCCCACCCACCCTATCTCGATTCTGATGATTTTTTTATTCGTCGTGAGCCAAGGGGGCGGAGCTTAATTGCTAAATTCTTAATTCTATGAGAGAAATAAAAAACATGTTTTTGAGTATCGCGTTGTTCAAAGAATAGAGGTAGAAACCTGATTTGAAGACTCAACCAATACTAAATCTTGCTTGTACGAAAAAATAAAGGAAAAACACCAAGTATAGCAGTTTTTGGAGTCTTGGGAAGATAGCTTTTGAGAGCGAAGACAGCGTAGTGCTCCCAAAATCTAGGATTAATACTTGAACTGGTAGAAACCTGAACTAAAGACCCAACCAATATAAAATCTTACTGGTCCAGAGAGATCAAAGAAAATGAGTAAAGACAACAGTTCATGAAGTCTCGGAAAGATGACCTTTTAGATTGAAGACACAACAGTTCTCCCAAAACCTGGACTAAATGCAAAACTAATAGAAACCTGAACGCAAGACCCAACTAATACCGAATATTGCTGATTCGAGGAGACCAAGAAAAGGATAGTAGATTCTGTAGGTTTGGAAAGAGTATGGAGAGACGCTACTCGTAGAAGCTTTGGATCAAAATAGACAATGTCCAAAGAACCAGGGTTTTCAGGGTTACCGTGAATATAGAACGATACCAAGCTCATCCAGCTCAAATCCCTATACCAAGGACTCACGAGGTATCAAAAGAATTTCAACGATACTCAAAGAAGGAAAAAGCGTTTACCCTTCGAGACTCGGGAGGATGTTTCCTTACCTGCATGAAAGTGGTGAAATGTCCGTTGGTCTTGACCTTGCTCCTGGGCTGCATCCTGTCCTTTTCGGCTGGCGTCTCCCCATACAGCGTGATTTCGGATCCTCTCAGGCCCATGCAGCCCAATTGCTGAGGTGTGTCTGCAAGAGATAATTGTGATTTATACATCGATTAATCACCTCTTACTTTCTAATAACTTAATCGGAATTGCTTGAGAAAAAATCGCTCCGTAATAACTCATTTTTAATAATTCGACCGGGAGGACTTGTAATTGCGCTGAGTGAATTCAACAAATCAAAATTCGACAGGTATTTTTCAAAGCGGTGAAATCCGCGGTCGGAACACGCCCTTCGCCCGCGGCCTCGCGAGACCTTTTTCTTGAACTTTTCCTATTGTGTGTGTGATGGTATCGGAGCTTACGAGAAGAAGAGGGTGGAGCATTTGCCTTTCAACAATGCATGCGTTTTTCCCGGTGCCTGTTATTAAGCGCAATCAGGTCAAAAGCGAACACCCATCGTTGGACGGAAAGAGCTCGATAAGAGTGCTACTATATATAAGTTTGACGGCTGTCAAATTACTGTTAACTCTTTCAAAATTATATGTAATAGTCGCGCGGCGTTGATGCATTATGTGGCGGACTTGTCGAGACCCTCGCCGTTTGATTTATCGAAAATTTTCGCCAGTAATGATTTATTATGATATTAGCATAGTTATACAAAACACATTGCGATAGCGTTACAAACAGGTGAATAAATAATCGCCGGCTGATCTACCCAAGACCTAAATCCACAATGATCGTTATTAAGAAACCCGACTGCTTGATTACCCTTGCGCAAATATTGTCACTCGAAAAAATCATCCACCGCTTTGTAATTATCTATTGTGATAGCGATCATGCCGATCGAAAGCTGGAATTAGAATGACGTTACTGCAAGAAGTCGCAAGGTTGTTTCAAGCCCAACCTTTCCTTCTAGCTTATTAATAAGATGCCAAGAATTATGAATGATCGATCAATAATATTAATATCGTCGTCGCGTCGGCTCTTTCGGTAGCTATTTTGCAACTTGAAAAATGATAATTAATTCGTTTTTAAGAGAGCTCAATTATTTTGAACAAACAAATCGTAAAAATCGAGATTTAATTATTGCGTCACTTTCTGACTTTCTACTCTACAAATCAATGTCTATCAATGGCTTAATAATTGATATAGTCGAGATAATTGAATCGGTTTCGGGTCGGGTTAATCAGGTGGATTCGTTTCGAAATGGGCCGTTTTGAGTAAGCGCGGCTATGTGACAGTGTTTCTATAAACATTTTTTCTTCAATGTGGAAAAACTATGACACTCCCTTTATAATGTTTCGTTCATACAAAAATTTCAAAGACGTCGAGAACGCAGCTTACGGTACTACCAGTCAGTTCGCAAGTGGACCCGTCCGGGATCGATATATAATTTTTTTAGCGACAGAAAGCCATTTGAGGACTCCGAGATTTTTCCACATTTTAAGAAAAAACAGTAGGGCCTCCTAAATTTTTTTCAGCTTCTCAAAAAAGATACTAGGCGACCCCGGAGGCTTTTTCAGCTTTTCTAAATGATACTAGGGGACCACCAGATTCCTTCATTAGCTCTCCTCCTTCCCAGATTATTTCAGCTTCTCTAAGAAAAAAGACACTAGGGTACCCGGAGATTCTTTCGCATTATGGAAAGAAATAACCGTTGAAATCCTAGAGATTTCTTCAGCTTCGCTAACAAAAAGATACTAGGGGACTCAAGATTTTTTAAGCTTTTCTAAATGATACTAGGGAACCACGAGATTCTTTCACTAGATCTCCCTCACACCAGATTCTTTCAGCTTCTCTAAGAAAAAAGATACTAGTGGAACCCGAGATTATTTCGCATTTTAGAAAAAAATAACACCAAAGAACCCCCGAGATTCTTTCAACGTTTCTAAGAAAAAAAAATACTTGGGGACTCCAAGATTCTTTCAGCTTCTCTAGATGATACTAGGGGATCACAATCTTCTTTCATGAGATCTAAGCTTCTCTAAATAATACTATGGGACCCCGAGATCTTTCGTATTTAAGGAAAAATACCAGATCCTCCAGTACCTCTAAGAAAAAAGACACTAGGCGACCAAGAGATTCTTTCGCATTATGGAAAGAAATAACCGTTGAAGTGCCAGAGATTTTTTCAGCTTCTCTAACAAAAATATACTAGGGGACTCAAGATTTTTTAAGCTTTTCTAAATGATACTAGGGGACCACGAGATTCTTTCACTAGATCTCCCTCACAGCAGATTCTTTCAGCTTCTCTAAGAAAAAATAACACCAAAGAACCCCCCAGATTCTTTCAAATTTTCTAAAAAAGAAAATTTACAAGGGGACTCCAAGATTCTTTAAGCTTCTCTAGATGATACTAGAAAACCACAATATTTTTTCACTACATCTAAGCTTCTCTAAATGATACTATGGGACCCCGAGATCTTTCGCATTTAAGGGAAAAACACCTGATCCACCTGAATCTCTGAGAAAAAAGACATTAGGGGACCCACAGATTCTTCCCCAGATTCTTTGAGCTTCTCTAAGGCAAAAGACACTAGGGGACCAGTAGTTTCTTTCACATTATGGAAAGAAATAACCGTTGAAGGCTCAGAGATTTTTTCAGCTTCTCTAAAAAAAGATACTAGGGGACTCTAAGATTTTTTAAGTTTTTGTAAATGATACTAGGGGACTACGAGATTCTTTCACTAGATCTCCCTCACACCAGATTCTTTCAGCTTCTCCAAGAAAAAAGATACTAGGGAAAAACGAGATTCTTTTGTATTTTAGAAAAAAATAACACCAAAGAACCCCCCATATTCTTTCAAATCTTCTAAAAAAGAAAAAGTTATAAGGGGACTCCAAGATTCTTTAAGCTTCTCTAGATGATACTAGAAAACAACAATATTTTTCACTACATCTAAGTTTCTCTAAATGATACTATGGGACCCCGAGATCTTTCGCATTTAAGGGAAAAACACCAGATCCACCTGAATCTCTGAGAAAAAAGACATTAGGGGACCCAGAGATTCTTCACCAGATTCTTTGAGCTTCTCTAAGGCGAAAGACACTTGGGGACCAGAAGATTCTTTCATATTATAGAAAGAAATAACCGTTGAAGGCCCAGAGATTTTTTCAGCTTCTCCAAAAAAAGATACTAGGGGACTCTAAGATTTTTTAAGTTTTTGTAAATGATACTAGGGGACTACGAGATTCTTTCACTAGATCTTCCTCACACCAGATTCTTTCAGCTTCTCTTAAGAAAAAAGAGACTAGGGAACCCGAGATTATTTCGCATTTTAGAAAACAATAACACCAAAGAACCCCCGAGATTCTTTCAACTTTTCTAAGAAAAAAAAATATACTAGGGGACTCCAAGATTCTTCAAGCTTCTCTAGATCATACTAGGGGACCACAATATTCTTTCATGAGATCTAAGCTTCTCTAAATAATACTATGGTACCCCGAGATCTTTCGCATTTAAGGAAAAACACCAGATCCTCCAGAACCTCTAAGAAAAATGATATTAGGGGACCCAGACATACTTCCCCAGATTCTTTGAGCTTCTCTAAGGCAAAAGACACTAGGGGACCAGAAGATTCTTTCACATTATAGAAAGAAATAACCGTTGAAGGCCCAGAGATTTTTTCAGCTTCTCTAAAAAAAGATACTAGGGGACTCTTAAGATTTTTAAAATTTTTGTAAATAATACTAGGGGACTACGAGATTCTTTCACTAGATCTCCCTCACACCAGATTCTTTCAGCTTCTCGAAGAAAAAAGATAATAGGGGAATCCGAGATTATTTCGCATTTTAGAAAAAAATAACACCAAAGAACCCCCGAGATTCTTTCAACTTTTCTAAGAAAAAAAAATATACTTGGGGACTCCAAAATTCTTTAAGCTTCTCTAGATAATACTAAAAAACCACAATATTTTTTCACTACATCTAAGCTTCTCTAAATAATACTATGGGACCCCGAGATCTTTCGCATTTAAAGAAAAACACCAGATCCACCTGAATCTCTGAGAAAAAAGACATTAGGGGACCCAGAGATTCTTCCCCCGATTCTTTGCGCTTCTCCAAGAAAAAAGACACTAGGGGACTATGAGATTCTTTCGCATTATGGAAAAAAATAACCCTTGAAGTTCCAGAGATTTTTTCAGCTTCTCTAACAAAAATATACTAGGGGACTCAAGATTTTTTAAGCTTTTCTAAATGATACTAGGGGACCACGAGATTCTTTCACTAGATCTCCCTCACACCAGATTCTTTCAGCTTCTCTAAGAAAAAAGATACTAGGGAAACCCGAGATTCTTTTGTATTTTAGAAAAAACATAACACCAAAGAACCCCCGAGAATCTTTCAACTTTTATAAGAAAAAAAAAATACTTGGGGACTCCAAAATTCTTTAAGCTTCTCTAGATAATACTAAAAAACCACAATATTTTTTCACTACATCTAAGCTTCTTTAAATGATACTATGGGACTCCGAGATCTTTCGCGTTTAAGGGAAAAACACCAGATCCACCTGAATCTCTGAGAAAAAAGACATTAGGGGACCCAGAGATTCTTCCCCAGATTCTTTGAGCTTCTCTAAGGCAAAAGACACTAGGGGACCAGAAGATTCTTTCACATTATAGAAAGAAATAACCGTTGAAGGTCCAGAGATTTTTTCAGCTCCTCTAAAAAAAGATACTAGGGGACTCTAAGATTTTTTAAGCTTTTGTAAATGATACTAGGGGACTACGAGATTCTTTCACTAGATCTCCCTCACACCAGATTCTTTCAGCTTCTCTAAGAATAAAGAGACTAGGGGAACCCGAGATTATTTCGCATTTTAGAAAAAAATAACACCAAAGAACCCCCGAGATTCTTTCAACTTTTCTAAGAAAAAAATATACTAGGGGACTCCAAGATTCTTTAAGCTTCTCTAGATGATACTAGGGGACCACAAAATTCTTTCATGAGATCTAAGCTTCTCTAAATAATACTATGGGACCCCGAGATCTTTCGCATTTAAGGAAAAACACCAGATCCTCCAGAACTTCTAAGAAAAAAGACATTAGGGGACCCAGAGATTCTTCCTCAGATTCTTTGAGCTTCTCTAAGAAAAAATACACTAGGGGACCCGGAGATTCTTTCGCATTATGGAAAGAAATAACCGTTGAAATCCTAGAGATTTTTTCAGCTTCTCTAACAAAAATATACTAGTGGATTCAAGATTTTTTAAGCTTTTCTAAATGATACTAGGGGACCACGAGATTCTTTCACTAGATCTCCCTCACACCAGATTCTTTTAGCTTCTCTAGGAACCCCAGATTCTTTCGCATTTAAAAAAAAATAACACCAAAGAACCCCCGAGATTCTTTCAACTTTTCTAAAAAAAAAAATAGAAAAAAGATACTAGGGGACTCGCAGATTTTTTAAGCTTCTCTAGATGATACTAGAAAACCACAATATTTTTTCACTACATCTAAGCTTCTCTAAATGATACTTTGGGACCCGGAGATCTTTCGCATTTAAGGGAAAAACACCAGATCCACCTGAATCTCTGAGAAAAAAGATATTAGGGGACCCAGAGATTCTTCCCCAGATTCTTTGAGCTTCTCAAAGGCAAAAGACACTAGGGGACCAGAAGATTCTTTCACATTATAGAAAGAAATAACCGTTGAAGGCTCAGAGATTTTTTCAGCTTGTCTAACAGAAAGATATTAAGGGACTCTAAGATTTTTTAAGCTTTTCTAAATGATACTGGGGAACCGGGCAATTCTTTCACATTTTAAGGAAAAAACACCAGATCCCCCACAGATTATATAAGAAAAAAGACATTAAGGAACCCCGGAATTCTTTAAGTTTCTATTTAAAACAAAAACTGCGGGACACCGAGACTTCTTTACACATTAGGGAAAAAACACTAGGAAATCCGGAGATTCTTTCAGCTTTTCGAAAAAAAAAAACGGCACTAGGGAACCCCGAGATTCTTTCGCATTTTTTAAAGAAATAACCGTAGAAGGTCTCTGAGATTCTTTCAAAAGACATAGGGGATTCCGACATTCTTTAGTCTTTTAGAAAAAAAAAAAATAGGGCATCCGAGATTCTTTCCTTTCAGCCTCTGTAAAAAAGTTACTAGGGACCTCGGAGAAATTTCACTAAATACATTTTCTTGAAGATTTCGGGCCCCAGAAATCATATCCGCTTTCCTTTCTTCGATAACTCCAATGGTTCTTCCAGAATCGTCCTTGGAAATATACAAAAATGTACAAACTACCACCAATTAATTATTGGACCAATTTTCAACAAAATTTTCAAAATTTCACTTAATACATTTTCTTGTAGATTTCGGGCCGCAGAAGTCATATCCGCTTTCATTTCTTCGATATCTCCAATGGTTCTTCCAGAATCGTCCTTCGAAATTTACAAAAATGTAGAAAATACCACCAATTATTGGAGCAATTCTCAAAAAAATTTTCGAAATTTCACTAAATACATTTTCTTGTAGATTTCGGGCCCCAGAAGTCATATCCGCTTTCATTTCTTCGATAAATCCAATGATTTTTCCAGAATCGTCCTTGGAAATATACAAAAATGTACAAAATACCGCCAATTATTGGACCAATTTTCAACAAAATTTTCGAAATTTCATTAAATACATTTTCTTGTAGATTTCGGGTCGCAAAAGTCATATCCGCTTTCATTTCTTCGATAAATCCAATGGTTTTTCCAGAATCGTCCTTCGAAATATACAAAAATGTAGAAAATACCACCAATTATTGGACCAATTTTCAACAAAATTTTCGAAATTTCATTAAATACATTTTCTTGTAGATTTCGGGCCCCAGAAGTCATATCCGCTTTCATTTCTTCGATAAATCCAATGGTTTTTCCAGAATCGTCCTTGGAAATATACACAAATGTATAAAATACCGCCAATTATTGGACCAATTTTCAACAAAATTTTCGAAATTTCACTAAATACATTTTCTTGTAGATTTCGGGCCCCAGAAGTCATATCCGCTTTCATTTCTTCGATAAATCCAATGGTTTTCCCAGAATCGTCCTTCGAAATATACAAAAATGTACAAAATGCCACCAATTATTGGACCAATTTTCAACAAAATTTTCGAAATTTCACTAAATACATTTTCTTGTAGATTTCGGGCCCCAGAAGTCATATCCGCTTTCATTTCTTCGATAAATCCAATGGTTTTTCCAGAATCGTCCTTGGAAATATACAAAAATGTACAAAATACCGCCAATTATTGGACCAATTTTCAACAAAATTTTCGAAATTTCACTAAATACATTTTCTTGTAGATTTCCGGCCCCAGAAGTCATATCCGCTTTTATTTCTTCGATAAATCCAATAGTTTTTCCAGAATCGTCCTTGGAAATATACAAAAATGTACAAAATACCGCCAATTATTGGACCAATTTTCAACAAAATTTTCGAAATTTCACTAAATACATTTTCTTGTAGATTTCCGGCCCCAGAAGTCATATCCGCTTTCATTTCTTCGATAAATCCAATAGTTTTTCCAGAATCGTCCTTGGAAATATAGAAAAATGTACAAAATACCGCCAATTATTGGACCAATTTTCAACAAAATTTTCGAAATTTCACTAAATACATTTTCTTGTAGATTTCCGGCCCCAGAAGTCATATCCGCTTTTATTTCTTCGATAAATCCAATAGTTTTTCCAGAATCGTCCTTGGAAATATACAAAAATGTACAAAATACCGCCAATTATTGGACCAATTTTCAACAAAATTTTCGAAATTTCACTAAATACATTTTCTTGTAGATTTCCGGCCCCAGAAGTCATATCCGCTTTCATTTCTTCGATAAATCCAATAGTTTTTCCAGAATCGTCCTTGGAAATATACAAAAATGTACAAAATACCGCCAATTATTGGACCAATTTTCAACAAAATTTTCGAAATTTCACTAAATACATTTTCTTGTAGATTTCGGGCCCCAGAAGTCATATCCGCTTTCATTTCTTCGATAAATCCAATGGTTTTTCCAGAATCGTCCTTGGAAATATACACAAATGTATAAAATACCGCCAATTATTATTATTGGACCAATTTTCAACAAAATTTTCGAAATTTCACTAAATACATTTTCTTGTAAATTTCGGGCCCCAGAAGTCATATCCGCTTTCATTTCTTCGATATCTCCAATGGTTCTTCCAGAATCGTCCTATTTTAGAAAAAAATAACACCTAGGGCCCCTGAGATTTTTTCAGTTTCTCTCTAAAAAACAAGATGATACTAGGGGACCCCGCGATTCTTTCAGTTTCTCTAAGGAAAGACACTAGGAGACCCCGAGATTCTTTAAATTAAAAAAAAGACACTGGTGGACACCGAGATTTCTTCACATTTAAGAAAAAAAAAAACACCAGGAGTCCCCAGACTCTTTTGCTTCTTAAAAAAAAGGCACCAAGGGACCTGCAGATTCTTTTACGTTTTATAAAGAACAACAGTCGAGATCCTCCAGATTCTTTCGCATATTAGAAAAAAAAGCAAAATTGCGTAGTGATTAGCATGGACTCGTTTGGTAACAGTGGTGCTTTCGGGGCGAGGAACTTCAAAAATTTTGAAATTTTATTTTCGACAGGTTGTGTTTGAAATATCGATTTATGAAAATCGAATTGGAAAAATCGCTTGTCGAATTTCTCAGAAATATCGGACGACTCGGTTCTGGGAATTCGACGACTTGAAGCTGGATCACCGAGGGGATCCGCAAGAGATGCAATACACCGAAACTAGTCTTAACGAGTTCGTGGAACCGGAAATACGTCTTCGATTGTTAATTATTAATAAGATGAACTTTGTGCGATTTTTGAAAAAACCCATACATATACATATAAAATTGGACAAGTTTAATTGACACAGACAGACAGACAGACAGACAGACAGAAACGAGGGACCTATTTTTTCATGCTCCAGAGAAAAAGTATACAAATCAGCAAAATTGCGCCAGAATAACGGAAAAGCCTGATAGATGTGGCGACATTTTTAAGAAACTGAGGAATTCGTACTCTAAACACACATAAATAAGATATTTACGTCGCAGCTACGCGGTAGGTCTAACTTAAGCCAGTTTCCGTTAAAAATCGCTTTATACTGGCACATTTTGAAACAGAATTTTTCCACATTTTTTATCTTCCAACCTTTTAATTTCACATAAACACCAGGCGGTTCGCTTCATAAATACAAGACGCAGTCCAGGGGGTCTGAAATTCTTGCGTTACACGAAGCTACCTTGTATTCACGCATGCATATTTATATTTTCAAGTTGGTCATATTTTAGCCAACGTCCAGTTAGTTTTACCTCAGCGAGTTTAATTACCTCCCATCCACAAAAACCGAACTATTCAAAATCGCAAGCAAACCCAATATAAACCGAATCCCCGCCCTAAATCTTGACACGTGACGTAACGCTCCTATGGCGTAACGTCACGTGTCATCAAATGACTCGCCAAACGAACAAAAGCCGTTCACTTGTTCGAGATAGCGCATCTTAGTGACACATCTCATTCAATTAAAACGTTGCGTAAACGCACCCTCTCATCTTCGTTTACGTTTGCTACTAATTTAATCGTTTGTGTAATTGATTCGAAGCTTGCTTTACCGACTGCTCTTAGAACCGTAATGTGAGCTGTCGATCGTTGTTGAGATAATATCATTTTGATTGACAGCAGGTTTCTTTTGCTTTTTGTGCCGCGGTGTTCTCACCGACTTTCATTGTGTGAAAAAGCTGGCGTCTTTCTGATTCTGATCGGTGTTATTTTGGCGTTTGCCGGGTTTGGACGGACGTCAAAGGGTTACGCCATAGTTTCTACGGAGGTTCGATTTTTGGACGAGTGATAGGCGGCACGTGTTAACACATAAATTTTGTATTAGCGATAAGTCAAAGTCAATTCGTTCTAGGGCGACATAGTACCACTTCAGTACCGTCTTTTGCAAATCAACTGGTCTTACCGTGCTGGATGATGGGAGCGTCCAAGGTACACAAAGGACAAGCCTCATTGGTGAACATGCAAGAATAGCATCGTTCATGACCGCAATTATCGATAAGTCTTCGTTTCTTGCCCTTATCAAACGGCATATCGCAACTTGGACAGGTCCCCGCAGTGTTCTCCGTATCCAGTAGCCTCCTGATGGCTGCCAGATCTGTAATAAAATTCAATCAGTCAGATATGGCCAATAAACACCGACCTGGAGTTATTACAGCCGTTCATTTCAGCATAATAAAGGGGTTCCGTTAGCCGCTCTGCCTCCACGAAACGCAATTCTCGCCTGTCGGGATGAATCGATCAAAGTTTTGCGAAAATGAAGCGATTAGTTGGTCTAGAGTGATAGAAGCGGCCCCCGAACCGACCCTTGCGTGACTTCCGGTATGGTGGGGCTTCCGTCTCACACTTAATTAAGATTTCGTGGTCGCCATGAGCGCGCAACAACATGGTCGAAAATCTTCGTGGAAACTGGGTACAGGGGCTTGCGCAACCTGACAGGTATATGACGAAGAGATAAAAGAATGTCATTTTTGACATTAAACGCACGGGTTAGAGCGCAATAAATATCAGGAAAGGTTATTGGTTCAAGGAACATCAAAAGCGCATTATTATAATTAAGTACCTTTATCTGACGCACGGTACTTTCAGCCCAAAAGGTACAAAAATCGCAATTAATTACCGCCACGGAGCACGGCTGGTATTTAAAGCTAAAAGTACGTTAAAACGGCCATATATTATGTTAAGTGCTTTTGTAATGTTGAATTTATGTCAACTAAATTTTCAATAAATTCTTGATTACGGTAATCTTGGAAAGGTCCGTTTGATACGGTTGAATTGCGATTTCTTTCGTTCTCGAGAGATTAATCTCACGAAGAAAAAAGCATCATGTGTTATGCGGAAATGGATTTCCAGAGCGGCACTATCGAAATCGTTAAAATCCGATCCGGTACCACTTTCTACTGGTACTAGTGGAAAACGATCTGAAATCAGATCCCCTCAATTATAGCAACAAAAAGCGCGGATCGCACCTGTTGCAGACATTTTTACAACGGTACTAATCCGTAGTACGAAAACCGGTCTAATCGCACCGTCTTTCTAATACAATAATCTGAAAATAATTGGTACCGCCTCGAATTACCTTCCACAATTACGGCAAGGCGGCCCTTAATTTACGGCGACGCTTTCAAGTACGGGTTATATAATACGATTACAAAAATGCAAGTCATAATAAAGTGCGCTCGTTAATGCCGCGATGGTACCGATAATCTCCCTACGAAGCCCAACTTTAAATCAGTTTTATTGTAAGTGTGAAGCCGTAAATTGAAGATTACGGCTCTTGTCGAAATACAAAAAACGAACAAGTGCCAAAAAATGCGTTCTTCGCGAGGTGCAGTATTGCCAATGGTACGACTTTCACTGTACTAATTTCAAATTTCAACGGTGAATTTTAATTTCATAAAAAACATAATTGGCGGATGACTTGCACACTTGACCACAAGCTGTTTCGAAATTCGGGTAATCGTTTTGGCACCTGACTGCGACGGGGCTGGGTGTTGGTGCATTCAATAACGATTTGTATGTGATGGTCATTAAGGTAATTGTTTGTTGGCGGTATTGGTTATTACTGCAATTGCTGTTTTGATGACAGTTAAGTCTGTCCGGGTCTCGTATCTGGCTCTTCTTCGCACGCTTTTTATTCTACTCGAACTGTACATTTACCGCCGGGCTTTTTTATTCGAAAGGTGGCTCTTCTATACGATTGCTTCGTTTTTTTCGGTTGGTACTTCTCTTAGTTACAGTTTTATTCGTATGTTGCATGTTGTGCTGGTGGAATGTTGATGGTACCACTTCATTATTGTTTTTTGTTTTTTAAAGGCGCCATTATTGGTAGTACCACCCTAACAACGTCGTTTTATAACTCCACTTCCTATTAACAAGGCATTTCGTAGTAAGAAATAGTTGAAAAAGTAACACTAAACAAAGTAATTACTCTGGTACCAACAACGGACGTTCGTTCACCAAAATAGTACTATAGTCTATATTTTATTCAAGTTTATCGAAAAAGTCATATTTTCCTAAACTGGACAGCACCTAAACTAATCATTCGGTGAAAATATAAAGCTTGTACAGTTATTGCAGAAAATACTGTGTAGTACCAGCAGTGTGCTGAAAAAAATTTATTAATAATATTTTTGGGTGTCATTATGGATTAGCAAAGCAACGACTTCCGAAAAATTGAGTACTTTTTTAAAGAATTCACAAGGATCTCTTCCTTTAATATGTGAAATGAAGATACAAAAATCATTTTTCATCGGTAAATGGTACCAAAATGTGAAAATTCTTGCCATACCAGATTTTCTTAGAAGTGAATATTTTAATCAAAAACTGTTTTTTCGTAGATACAAACTTGTATGTACGATTGGGTAGTACCTCAAAAAATAAAAATTCCGTTTGTTTCTTGCTGCTACATAAGCATGTATGTAGTACCTGCTATTGGAAAAAATCTCAATGTCTCAATATAGAAGCCTGCTGTGGAACTACAAAGGCATTTTTTGCTGAAAACGGGGTACCATTTTCAACAATGTAATGCAGTCGGCACAAGAGTACTACAAAATACTACTTTATCCATGTTTCATTTCAAATAAATATTTCTAACGGATACATAGCCAGTGTGTTCTGCGTTCTTCATTAAACTAAATAAGTACTACAAAATTTTTCATTATCAAGTGGTACTAAATAGAAAGTCTTTGCCACAGCTACATTTCCCTAGAAATCGATGCTGTAATCAAAATCTGTTATTTCAAACACACAAATTTCTTTAAATGAGGTACTACCTCAAAGTACGCATTTTATGAGGCTGTGTATGTAGTACCAAACGTTTTGAAAAAAAAAACTCTGCTATCTAAGCTTGACAAAGTCATTCTTGTTGAAATAATGTAATGAATACTCTGAAATGAAGACACAAAGACAATTTTTCATTGGCAAATGGTACCAGAATAAAAAAATTCTTGCCAATGCCGCATTTTCGTAGAGATGAATACTATAACCAAAAACTGTTGTAGTACCGGTTTTTGCAAAAAAGAAGTTAGCTATTACTTAATTAAAAAGGCATTTTTTCGATGAAAACAGGGTACCCTTCTCTACAATGTGATCTAGCCTGCACAAAAGTACTTTTCTTGCACAGAGGTACTAGCTCATAGTACTATTTATCTATTTATCATTGCTACCTTTTTTTAAAGTTGATATAATAATAAACAAAAATTGTTATTTCGTAGACACAACCTTTTATGTAAAATTGGGTACTACCTCGACCGGTAAAGGCACTACCAGAACTTGAATATGTAGTACCTGTTTATAGAAAAAATCGTCGGTAGAATTACAAAGGTATTTTTCGCCAAAAACGGAGTACCATTTTCAAGGGTGCGATGTAGATGGCACAAGGTACTTTTCTTGCACACAGGTACTACCTCATAATACTATTTAATCTATATTCCAACAAGAATATATATTTCATACGAATTTTGCTCTTCGTCAAACAAAATCGGTACTCTGAAATTAAGACACCAACACCATTTTTCATCGGTAAATGGTACCAAAGGAGAAGAGTCCTTGTTATTGCCACATTTTCTTAGAAGTTAATATCATGAACAAACACTGTTTCGTACCTACGACCATTTATGTAAAATTGGGTACTACTTCAAACTATAATTTTGTTTTTCCTTACTCCTATTTAAACACTATATAAGGTTGACGACTTAGTACCTATTTTTGAAAAAATCTACGCGAGTTTTCTTAACATGGAATCCATTTTTCGTGGAAATTGGGGTACCCATTTTAACATTGTGATACAATCGGGACGAAAGTACTTTTCTTGCACACAGGTACCACCTCAGAAATTAATTTTTGGAAAAAATCTCCACTAGTTCTCTCAACATGGAATCCATTTTTCACGGAAATCGGTACTATTTTCAACATTGTGATCCAGTCGGCACAAAAGCACTTTTCTTGCACACAAGTACCACCACAAAAAATAATTTTTGTAAAAAATCTCCGCTAGTTCTCTCAACATGGAATCCACTTTTCGGAGAAATCGGGGTACCATTTTGAACAACGTGATCCGATCTGCACAAAAGTATTTTTCTTGCACAAAGGTACCACCTCAAAAATCAAATTTTGTAAAAAATCTCCGCTAGTTCTCTCACGATGGAATCCATTTTTCGCAGTAATCGGGGTATTATGTTGAACAATGTGATCCAGTCACCATAAGAGTACTTTTCTTGCACACAGGTACCACCTCAAAAATTAATTTTTGGAAAAAATCGTCGGTAGTTCTCTCAATATGGAAGCCTGCTGTAGAATTATAGATATTTTTTGGGGTACCATTTTTAACAATGTAATGCAGTCGGCACAATAGTACTACAAAATATACTTTATCCATGTTTCAATCTAAATAAAGTGTGCCACTGGGTACACAGCAGTTGCAGCAAGTGTGTTCTGCTTTCTTCATTAAACTAAAAAAGTACTACAAAATTTTTCATTACTAAGTGGGACCAAATAGAAAATCTTTACCACAAAATCGATACTGTAATCAAAATCTGTTATTTCGCTCACACGATTTTTTTTAAATAAGGTACTACCCCAAACTACGCACTTTATGAAGCTGTGTATGTAGTACCAAACGTTCTGAGAAAAATCTACTCTGGTTATCTAAGCTTGGCAAAGCCATTCTTGTTGCAAACAGGGTACCACTTTTAACAATGTAATGCAGTCGGCATAAAAGTGATTATTTTGCACACAGGTACTACCTCAAAAATCAATTTTATCAATATCTGCGACCTTTAATGTAAAATTGGGTACTCCTTCAAAATATAAAAAATCTTTGTAGTACCTGTTTTTGGAAAAAAAACTCCTCTAGTTCTCTAATATGGAAGCCTGATGTAGAATTACAAAGCCATTTTTCGCAAAAACCGTGGTACTCTTTTGAACAATGTGATGCAGATGGCACAAACGTACTTTTTTGCACACAGGTACTACCTCAAAATACTATTTTATCTAGATTCCAATATAAATAAATATCTCTTCATATTGTATAACAATTATTACACGATTAAATACGGATATATATTATATACGATTTTTCATTGGTAAATGGTACCA